TTTCTTTTTGTGTTCCTCATCGCCAGTGATGGCGAGCTGCGGTTGCCATTCTTCCGGGTGTGCGTCGCTTGCGTCTCCGCGAAGGTGTTGTGGCAATGCATCATAGAGTCCCTGAGGAGGTTTTGCGTGGTGTTCTTTTTTGTGTCTCTTGTCTTCCCTCTGTGGTGCGCTGCAGCTGATGTTGTGCTGTGTTTTCATGTGTCGCATGCTGTCTGCAGACTGCTTTGCCTGCCCCTTTTCATTGTTTGGAAGAGCCTGCTGGCTGTGCACAGAGAGAATTTAAGAAAAATAAGAGAAAGAGGAGGAAACATGTCCAACGATGCTCCTGCTGTGGCTGTTGCTTCGCCCGTGAAGAAGGCCTCACCCCGGAAGGCTTCCCCGAAGAAGTCGGCTGCGAAGAAGACCGTTAAGAGGACTGCTCCAAGGAAGGTGGCCAAGAAGCCAGCTACCATGAAGTTAGACTCGAAGAAGGCTTTGTGGAAGAATGCGAGGAAGTTAGTTTCCAATAAGGATCCGAAGACGAAGTAGTGGTTTTTTCTTTCTGTTTGGAGGGTGGGGATGGGAGAGGTGGTGGTGGCGGGAGGATGATTCTTTGCAGGGGAGCAGGTGCATGTGGTAATGTGAGTTTTGTTGTATCTGTGATTTATTTTGAGTGAGTTGTAATTTTGTGTTTCGCATTGTTTGAGTTTATTCTGTACAAGTTGGTATTCTTTATGTTGTATGCTGTTTTTTTTTTTTTGTGTGTGTAGTGGCGCCGTATGCCAAATGGTTTTTGGTGGCTTTTTATTTTGTTGTGTTTTTCTATACCTTATATGGCGATGTGTGTGAAGGATCAAAGGTGTTGCTTGATTTTCTGTTTCAGTTTGTTGTTTTGTTTTTGTGGGTGTTGAAGTTGAGAGTTGTGTGGTTTCGAATTTGATTTTGAATGAGAGGACACATTGTTTTAGTTTGTTGTCTTTGTTTAGTCTGTTTCGTTATTGTTGCCGAGTTTCCGGGTAATGCTGGTACTCGCATAGAGGATGGCCGGCCATCGTGGAGGTGGTGCGTGCGGCACATGGACCACTATGCGTACCCGGTGAATTTTTTTCAGTTTCGATGGCGGGAAAATCCTTGCGGGTTTCGCGTGATGAGTGTTAAGGAGATGCAGCAAATGGTTTTTTTTGGCAAACCGAGTAACCATTTTTTTTTATTGGTGACAGTATTGCCTACAGGAATTTTGCATTTGCCGTAAATGCGTTTTGGCCGTTCAAGCGGATTGACGGCTATAGCAGGATTTCGGAGGTGTCTGAGCATGAGGCGGTGAGTGTCACGCTTCGAGGGAGGGAGATTGCGTCACCTAACACGACGCGTTATACGCGGGTGGTGTCGAATGAAGCTTCCGCCGTTGGTGCTGCCGATGATTTGAGGAATGCTACGGCACATTTTATTAAGCTGCGCCACGTCAGTTTGTCAGTGCACCTGGTCTCCAGCACCATTGAGCGGGCTGATGGCGACTGCGTGGTTGTGATCTATTTAGGCACCTGGGACCTGAACTGGCAAATCAACAATCGGAACAAAGTTCCTTTCCTGGGTGGGCCTGTGCGTCACTTTTCCACCGCAGTGAACTATTGGACCCGCTACGTGCAGAAGCTGATGGAGGCCATCCAGCGTGCATTACAGGACAAACCGGTGCATCGCCGTCCTCTTCTCATGTTTCTTGAGCAGTTGCCGCTTAATTGTTCTGCAAGTCGTTTTACGGGACGAGCCAATATGTTTAAGAGATGCGAGGATCTGACTGCACCGGTTGTCGTGCCATTGTATCGGCGTGTGCTCGCGGCAATGGCCTGGCATTTAAATATTCCTGTGGTTCCAACACAACACTTTTTCAAGGGGAGATATACCTACTGTACTCTGTCCGACGGGGTTCACATGGATCCTCCATGCATGATGATGGCACAACATCACATTTGGAACACGTATTTGCTGCTGCGTAGAGAAAAGGTGATTCAGGGACTACCAACAGGGAGTGGGCAGCTGCCCAACGCCATGCGTTTTGTGGAGGAGGAGGAGTATGTGGAGTGGCTCCTCCAGATGGATGGTCTTGATATGGGGAGCACGAGGAGGCGCTATCCGTTCCGTGGGTTTAGTGTGATCATCCTTCTTGTCCTCTTGCCTTGTTTTCTTATGTGGGCTTACATTTTTGGAAGATGCGTGCTGTTATTTCTGGAGAAGAGATACCTTCTCAGGCGCCACACACGTTTGGAAGATGATATGAATGACAACAATGATACATGCAGTGGCACAAAGTGAGTTTCGCTGGCGTTGTGCCTCCTTAGCGGTTTCCCAGGGCAACAATTTTTTTATAATAGTGCGTCGTTCCGGAGCTTCGCCGCTCTCTTGTGTGGATGTGCGGCGCTGGAGTCTGAGAGTTGCCTTGAATGGATTATTTTCCTCGTCCTCTCTACCGCTGCATGTTTTTTTTTTTTTTTGCTTTGCTGCTGGAGTTGTTTTTGTTGTTTGTGTGCCTCCCTGTGCTGAATGCCGCGGAAAAGAAGTGCCTCACTGCCTCTGTTGGGCATGGGAGCTGCGAAGAGCAGGCCGGTGCGCGAGGCACCTGTGCGCTACGTCGCAAGGCAGCTTCCTCATGTGGACAAGACTCCGGTGGAGCAGCAGTTCAAGAAGCCGGAGTTCACCGCCCAGGGCATTAACAGGCGCCTTGACGACGTCAACACCGAGCCGCTCATGCACGTCGAAAGATGCGAGCAGCACAGAGCTGACGGACCCCCCCCCCCCGGTGGTACCTTAACACCTACATGGAGATGGTGGACAACAACGCATAGACCAAGTTATTATCAGCGGTAATCTGCCGCTTTCATGGGAGCGAGACAAGTTCGAGCCCTACGCCTTGGTGTGTGGCCGCATAGATGACGAGGATTTAAGGTGGGTGCTTGCCGCTGAGCAACGCGAAAAGGGTGTGGGTGCGCTTTCGCCCTCCACAAAACTCGAGAGAAATGTACTGCAGTACATTCTGGGCACTGTGGAGCTTCCACGCATGCAGTACAGAAACTACAAGGGAAAGCTGCATGAAACTGTCGAAGACGCCAACACACACATCGTGGCACGCAGGGAGCAGCTTGAGCGGGCACGCGAGGAGGAAATCTTGAGTAAGATTGGCTACAGCGAAGAGGAGGTGTTACAGGAGGAGCAATACCTCAACAACCGAACTCGTGGTGTTAAATCACTTGATGCTTTAGGAGCTAGCTTGCGGGAGAAAAAGCGAATGGAGCGTGCTGCGCAGGCAAATGAAATGGAGGACCTCCTGGAGGAGCGTCGCACGCAAGAGTTGGAAGCAGGCGTTGCCGACTTCACGGAGGAAGAACTTCTTGAAAAACCTGAAGTATTGGGCATCAAACCAAAGCCCTACGGGACGCGGCGGCAGGTGTACAAACAAGTGTATGCCGCCGACTTTGGAAAGGGCGATCGCAACCAAGCCAAGTTTCAGTGGTGGCTTGACAGAACACGTCGCATCAAACGCGCCGTGAATGGTATCCACGGCGCCCCAGTGTATAATGAGCGACTTTCCGTGAACGAGGAGCAAACGCGGAAGCAAATGCGTGAGGCTGCAGAGTTCAACTTTGCTCTTTCTCAGACTCAGGGGGCAAAGGGATTTAAGGACCCTCGTGGCCACTACAATGAGTTTGTCAGTGCTCCGGCAGAATAAAGACCTAAACGACGATGGTCGTGTCGAAGTGCATGAAGATGACGTTTTGAACAATGACATTTTCCGATTTCCTCACACGAAGGACCATGGCCCAAAATCACCACCAAAGCGGTTCACTGACAAAGGGGGAAAACCCGAAAATGTTTGTACTGATGTGAAAAGGCTACATCGGGACGAAGAGGTGACGCAAGTCATGCAACAAGGTGTGAAAGCTGCTGACGAAGTTGATAGACAAGAGACGCCTGGGGCAAGCAAGCCACCGGAGATCTCGATAAGGAACGTCTGGGTGGCGTTGCATCACAGGAAAACGACACTTCATCTTCCAAGGACAGACCCTGAGGGGGCTCCGTGATATTGGTCGTGTGGAGCTCAGAGGGCCAGCATTTTTCTCTTTAGCGTGAAACGCGTTCTTGCGTCGTTGCCTGCGCGTATTTGTAAGGTTGTGCGTGTCGACTCCTCGGCAATGCCATTCAATGAGAAAAGTGGAAGTGGTACGATAAACAAGATCAGACTGACACACGCAAAGAAAAGGGAGAACAAGAGGCACACAAAACAACAACAAATGCGAACAAGGCGCGGTGGTGTCGCACGAGTTTCTTCTATTGAGTTCTGCATAAAAGGGGAGGCCGCAGTTTCATATTTATGCATTCTGCGCTGTATTTTTTTTATTTTTATTTTAATTGTTGTACCTCTTGCAACCCACAAAACTTCAACGTCTCTCACCACTTACCTGCAGAAAGAAAGAAGGAAACCAAATAATCAGTAACAAGGGCCACTATTTCTCAGTAACCAACGACATAGAGAGCGGGATCTGGGGAGAGAGAGATAGAGCGCAAGTGTGTTTGGAAGAAACGAGAGGAGAAATACAATGGAGACGGCGGATTTAGTCAAGAGTCTTCTCAAGGCCGATGAGGAATGCCGTGTGCTCCGGGAAAGGGTGGCACTGCTGGAGAAGACGCATCGTCTCAGAGAGCGGGACGCACGAGCGTTAACCGCGACCCCTTCGGAGGTCGCTCCTGATTCGAAGAAGACCAAGGCCCGCACGCTCAATCTTCCGCTTGAGGCGGTAAGTATGTTGAGTTCCAAGGCTGGGGATATCAACGTGGTGGTGAAGGAGCAAAAGAAGCTGTTGGAGGAACTGAAACAGCTTCAAACAATCCTGGAAAGCTCTGCGGCAGATACAGTGAAGGCAAATGAGCTCAACGCGCAGCTAAAACAAAGCATTGGGTACACTGAGGGTGAAACCATTTATCACTTACAGGATGCAATTAAGGAAGTTGCTCAAATAAATGGTCTGAAAAATGAAGTTCTTCAGCTGCTCAGCGCTCGTGAAGCCGTGCAGGCAACTTTGAAGCGGCAAACGGAGCACATGCGGGCGTATTTGACTGAGTTGGTTGATTCCAGGGGTCTCGATGAACAACGGAAGCAAGCGGAGCAGCAGCTCAAGGAAAAGAGGGCAGAGTTGGAAGGCATTCGTGGAGAGATGCAGTCTATGCAGCGTCTTTTAGAGCGGAAGGAAAAACAACTTGAGAATGAGAAGCCAGTCGACGAACTACAACTCGCCCAGCGAGCTGAGAACGAACGACGCATGATGATCCACAGGCTGGAAAAGGAAGAGGAGGGTCTTCGACAAAATGAGATTTCCATTCGTCACCGCTCCATGCAGATTACCAAACTTGAAAGGCGCATCGAGATGATAGGCGATACACTCGGCTGCGAAGAACCTAATGAAGAGCGCGTTGACGCCGAGACTGTGGAGCAGTTACGCAAAGAAATCCTTGTCTTGGGGCGGCGACATCAAAAGCGTGAGGCTCAACAGGAGATACTTGATGCCAGTATCGTGGATCTGGATCGTCGGTGCACGGGACTTGTGCGTACAACAGCCAACGTGAAGAAGGAGATGCAGCGTATTCAACGGAACCACCGAAAGTACCTAAACCTTCAAAAGAAGGAGCTGGAGTTGGAGCAGGTGACGGCGGAGCAGGAAATCGGTGAGATTGAGCGGGAAATAGAAATGCTCCGCCGCGTTACTTCCCGCCGTGGACAGAAGGCACAAAATTCCAGAATTCATCAGGTGTAGATTACCATTTCTCATTATTAGTGTTATTTGGGTTTCTGGAATCGAATAGGGAGGGAAGGAGGGGGGGGGGGGGTCATGTTTTACGAAAAAATACCGAAACTCAATAAGAAGTCACTGTGGGTGGCAGGACGGGTTTGAGTGACAACACAGTCATGTGCATGCTGCAGGAAAAATCACAGATGCTGCTGGAGAGTGACCAAAGAAGCATAACAACATGCAAAAGCAAAAAAAAAGTACGGACACGTTTCGCGTGGTCATAAATCAACGGTATCACACACAAGAGTTATTTTTGTTTTTGTTTTGGCTTTTACTTTCACGTTGCTGTCGTTGCAGGAGGTGCCGTCCATTGGGAAGTTGTATGAATGTTTGGACGCGGGGTGAAGTGTTTTTCCTATGACGAAGATGACGCAAAGGAGGAACCGCAAGAAGAGTAAAGTCATATATCTGTTAACCTATTTACACTTACGGCGTACTTCATTGCCTCTTGCGGTACACACACAAACAAACAGACACACTTCCAACAACAACAGCAACTACAAAAAGATGTAGCAAAAAAAAAGAGGAAAATATATGTTTCCCTCATGTTGATCTGTATTTAGTGGAAGACCGGCATTCGATGAAATTTTCCGGTCACAACACACTCAAAACTAAAAAAGAAAGAAAAAAAAACACAACACGGCACTCTTTTTCCGCTTACTGTTTTACCAGGAATACACAATGAGGCCACACAAAATTATCTAGTTTACTGTGGATCTGTACTATCAAGCAGCACACTTTTTCACTTTTGTCTTTGCCTTTTCCGACTTTTTTTTTGTGTGGGCTATGCCATGAAAATCAACCATACCTTTACAGGACGCTTTATTTGAGTGTTTTTGCCCATCACACTTTTTCATCTTGTGGTTATCACCACCACAAACAAAAGACATAACGTGTCATGACAGCACCCACAACTTCCACCGACGACGCTGTCACTATGACAATCGTCAAGACAACGATATCACCAATGATGACACCAAAAACAACTTCAAAAAAAAATTCCAATAAGGCCGCTCAGGAGAAGGTAGCCAAGAAGCCAGCTACCAAGAAGCCAGCCACCAAGAAGCCAGCCACCAAGAAGCCATCTGCAAAGAAACCGGCCACCAAGAAGGCGGCGGCGAAGAAGCCCGTGGCGAAGAAGGCGGCCAGGAAGGCTCCCAGGAAGGCAGTGAAGAAGGCGCCAAAGAAGAAGTAGAGTCTTTCCTTTTTTGTCCAGCGGTATCGCCCTGCGGGTCGTCTCTCCGGTGCACCTGACAGCCGAAGTGGTGCCCTTCTGACTTGTGGGGGCGGTGTGCTGTACATTGCCCATTACTAGATGTTTTTGTTTTGTTTGTTTGTTTCTTTTGTGTTCCTCATCGCCAGTGATGGCGAGCTGCGGTTGTCATTCTTCCGGGTGTGCGTCGCTTGCGTCTCCGCGAAGGTGTTGTGGCAATGCATCATAGAGTCCCTGAGGAGGTTTTGCGTGGTGTTCTTTTTTGTG